AATTACTATTCCTTCGTCAAGGCATGAAAATAAGATAAAATAAAGGAGAGTGCTTGACAAATGACAAGCAAAGCAAAGGAAAGCTGATACATATGAGTTGTTATTGTTGTTATTATTATTTACATTGTATGAAATATAATAAGATAATTTTTTTCTTTTTGAAATCTTTTCTCACTTTATTTTAAGATTTGAATTTAAAATTTTTTACGTTGAAACTCAAATTCTTAATTTTAATTATTGAAATGTCATTAGAGAACACACATGATAGCTATTACCCCTTTCTTGCTAGATTTTGATTATTCCTTCCTAATTCTATAATTAAAAGAAACGTCCAACCTTAAACCTACTATATATATTCCAAGAAATAGTAATTCCAATAGTGAAATACTCCTTTATTTTACTTATTTGTACACAGTGAGCTATTCCGTCTTCCGTCCAATCCAACATAACCTTAATTCTTAAAACAATGTTGGAAGCTAAGCAAAAAAATATAGTTCAATATTCCCAGAAAACTTTCATATTTTTTATACATATGAATAATAAAAAATAGAGATGATGCATTTTTTTTAAAAGAATGTTATTTTTAATTATTTTAGTATTATATTAGATTAAAAGATTCTTTATAAATGCTGATAAAAAAAAAATTCTTTATAGAAAAAAATTTATAAAACAACTTTCAAATTTATAAGCGCTTCGGTTAATAATTTTACCAAACATTTTAAACCTTTCAAAAACAAGACTTATACAAAAATTCTTCTAAATAAAATTTCTACCAAAAACTCCAATCACACCTTCTTAATTATAAATGTCACGTGAGTTTTTTATTTGTGCATTTTGGATTAAAAATTAGAACTTATCTTTTAATTAAAAAAATTTTACCTTTTTTTCAAAAAAAAGCTAATGTAATTACTTACTCCATACAGAAACCCATACATTTATATCTTTTACGATTTCCCTCTTTTATGGAGGTTTCTCCAAGGTTTTTAAAACCGGATCGGTCATCGAACCGTTTTCGAGTTTAGTTTTTGGTTTGACCAGTTCAACTGGTTAAATTGGTGAACCGATCGGTCCAAATAACAAGGGAAATCTGATGAGAAGGGCATGTAATTTTGTAATTTTATTAAAATTAAGGGTTAAAATCGGTATAAGAAAGGAATGGTGAGGGTGAAATTGGAAAAAACAGAAAGAAAATTGCATGAGAAATTAAACCGGTGGTTTTTTTGGTTCTATTGGTTCCACTGGTTTCATCGATTTTGAACGGTTTTGACTGGTTTTGACCGGTTTTGACCTCAAACGATTTTTTTGTGTAAACCAAACCGTTTTCATTATCGGGTACTGGTTCGACCGGTTCAACTGGCCGATCCGGTCTAATTTTAAAAACCTTGGGTTTCTCCCTCCTTTTAGGATTTTTGGAATGGATTTCTCAATATATATTTTTTTTTAATCAAAATTCAATCTTGTTAAAGAAAGATAGCACCTTGAATGCAATATTAGGTGGCCCAAGACTCATTATCGTACTTGCTTCGGCTATTAAAGGCACGATTGGAGATGAGATCCTTAACTAAATTTTTCTATCCCAACCAATTTATCGTTTGTCTAATGAATTATGATATAACGTAGCTTAATTGTTAAATTTCGAGTTTGGACGTAACTATGATATTCATATGACAGTTTTTTTAGTACTAACCCCCAATATCTAAAAGCCACATTAGGTTTTAATTAGTTCGGAGTTGAAGTGCATGGACCCCCATAAGAGAAAGTTTTTAGACTAACAAGGGATTGGATCAAGTGGTAAGTGGTTTGTTCCAGCTTAAGTAAAGTTTTGAGTTCGAGACCTTGTGTATGCAACAATCTTCGTTAGGAGACTCACCTATCATTTTCAGGTGTGCGACGCGGGTCGGATTCGGATTATTCGAGGCGAAGCCCCGGATACCAGGCGAGAAACCAAAAAAAAAAAAAAAAGAAAGTTTTTAGTTCTTTTTTTTTTATTATTATTTACAATACTTAAATTTAAGGTCTTATTTAATAAAAATCAAATTTCTTTTATTCAAATCAACATGTTATTGGTTATTTATGTGAGCAATAAATTATTTGATTTTGCGTTTTCACGCATTTTATGAGTATAATATCTCTAACCTATTATCCCATTTAGGATAATTCTATAATCCTTATTATTTTCATATATTAATAAAATTT